AGAGAGAGAGAGAGGGAGAGAAATTCAGAGTCAGAATTGGAGAGTAACACAGACAAAGTGAGACACAGAGACAAGAGCCAGACAGAGAGAGAGAGAAACAGAGAGGGGCTGAGAGGCAGTGACAGAAAACAGAGTGAGAAAGAGAGACAAATAGATACAGAGATAAAGACAGAGACACACAAAGAGAGAAATATGGACAAAGACGCAGAGATAGAAACGAACGGAGAGAGTGACAAAAAGAGACGGAAAGAGAAAGACAGAACAGAAATGGAGAGACAGACAGAAAGGCAGAGTCACAGAGAGATAAGAGATAGACAGAGACGCAGAGGGAGAAAGACAAACAGAGAAGGACATAGAGACCGAGACTGCTACACAGAGATGGAACGAGACAGAGAGACATACAGAGATAGAGACTGAGACAGACAGGGACGCCGAGAAAAAAAACAGAGAGAGGAGAGACAGAGAGGAGAGAAAAGAGAGAGTAGAGAATAGAGAAAAGAGAGAGAAGAGAGAAGCGGGAGAGAGAGACACACACACACACACGTGCTTCTTAACCAAGCTGCATGAAGTCACGGATCGGACTCTCTACGTGTTTGGTGTCTCGTGAATTTGGATGTACTGCGTACTTGTAGAAGACAAACGTTTATTCTCCCAATCAATTCTTATTTTGAGTTTTATTGACTCTTCCGTTTGCAGTTTTATTTGCTTTCCGTTTGTAGCGTGGTACAATTTTTACAGCAAAATATATTTTATTGGTCAACTCATCTTCCGGGATACTGGGAAACCTTAACATGACGAAATCAAAGATATGCTTCCATACATATGTTGCTTTTCCTCGGAAACAAAAACTTTCGTGGGGAAGAAATTCAAACAGCTGTAATTAGGTCACTCTGAATAGCACACCATAGAAAAATTAAAGAAACTCCGCAAATTTTTCCGCACATTAAATTAGTGTCAATATATAGGTGGATAGTAGGTATCTTATATAATAGAAAGTACCCTGTGAGGTTGCCCAGATATGTATTTTTGTTCTATATCAATCATATCAATCTCGAATATACGTTATACACGATCGTTTGTCTACTTTTAGGTAATCAATTCTTTACTGTTCAAACGTCAAATTCTATTAAATGTTAGTGAATAATCTTACAAAGGAACCAGATACCATGCTAGGATAGAAATGTTCTCCATGAAACGCCGTGTCCTCGCACAAGGACCTTAGAACCTAACCTTCCGATCGACCTCTGCGCTCGACTGACCCCCCCCCTCCCGAGCTAATTGCTTAGTTTCACGTTTTACGCTTCATCAGATATCGCTTAATCTGACTTTTTAGAACTTCCAACATTCAGTTTATAATTCTGCATCTATATATCGAAGTTTCAAAATCTTTGTCTCTAAGGAAAATGTCCCTCTAAAATAGACGCGAGAGAAGAGGCGCGGTTAAACGCGTCCCAAACATCCTGCTCCTTCACAACCCGATCAGGCTTCGAGAACCGGATTTGTACATCTCGAGTTATTGACGCTGTGACTCTAATCGGGGGTCGTAGGTTTCGAGATCCGAGGGTACGAGTTTACGAGTTCGACGGTGCAGGACTTTCGATCCTAGCTCCATCGCTAGTTCGAATTCAACCGCTGCTTGGAGGAGAATTCAAAACGGGCGACTATTCTGATCGGCAGTATTCTGTAGTTTCTCCAATCAATACCAGGCGAATGCTGGAGCAGTATCCAGCCGTGGTCCATGGCGCACACGAGATCTTTCCTGCTGTCTAGTGTTGTATCGGCTCCCCTTACAACATACACAAGAAATGTGCCGGGACCGGATGGGAGCTTAGGGCTCATCTCGGTGGTAGCGGTGCCCCTCCGATTTGCCCCGCAAAGCGACCTGAATGTCGGCGCCGGATTGCACCAACAGAGACGAACACCGCCACCCCTTAGCAAAAGAGCATTCACAACACTAACAGGACTGCGTACACAGAGTGACGCAGAAGTTGTCAAACATCAATCAGTACAGGAAAGATGTGAAGCGGTTAGAAAAGTGATGTGCGATGTGAGAACGCCCATGCCACAACACGAGAGTAAACATCCACGTGCGTTCGTTGTGTTCGAGGTTGCCTCTGCGCCGTTGCTTCAGCATTCTTGAATTCCGAGCCGGCTAGCAGTGGGAGCAGTGTGTGGTGGTAAAGGAAATACCGGGTTGAGTGTCTTATCAGGAGTCCTCCAAACATGAACTTTGCCGAACCTCGGGGGAAAAAAGAGAATCTGAATTCTTCACTGAAGGTAATCCAGACAGATAAGTTTCTCGTTGACGTCATCATTGTAATCGACGACGATGTGATACTCACTTCAATAACATTACGTAATGGGCGCTGTGTGAATAAACTAGTTTCGGCCAATCGGAAAGAAATAGCTTAGGCAGACAAGAGGGTGTGTCTCGATATTTCCACGCAGTATTGGAAGGGAGATGTGAATTCTATTCTGACCTTCAAAATATCGTTATTGGCCACACAATGCAGAGATTAGTTCCTTCATTTAGCGCGTTATGTTGCTGAAGGCGAATGAGTCCGATTAGCTACTGCCTTATTACGTACATACCCCAGCCATGGTTCCAGCACCTGACTTCAGAGCATCAACTGATTTCACTACAGTGCCTCTGACCGGGAGGTTCTGGATTCGAGACCATGTGTCAGGATTTTCGGCTCTAGCTACTTCGAGGTCAGTCGGTGTCTGAAGGCGAATTCTATTGGTTTGATGCTCTGATATGTAGTTTTCTGTGGTTTCTCCGATCAATACCAGATGAATGCTGGTGGTGCAGTAACTTAACAAACGGGCCACGTACATCGTGCGATATTCCCTTCATATTCTTTGTCTGTTATTCACTCTTCACTTGCCCACACACCTACAAGCCCTACACTACCACACGTGCCGGGAGACCGGTCGGGAGCTTAGGGCTTGTCCCTGTTGGGACGGTGTCCCGCTGGTGGGAGATTCCTGGTTGGGGAAAACCCCGCTGGCCGGCGCTAGGTCTCATCATCTCGCGGGGAAATGCAATGCCACCTCCCGAGGAGAAAATGTGCACTACACGTACGGGAATAATGACCTTAGCAGTTGACGCGCCCGGAATCACTAATCAATCAAAAGAAAAAGTTCGCCAACGGCGTTGAGTCTCCTTATAGACTAACGTCCTAGAAGTACAAGAGACCTCTACGTTGTCTTTAAAATTCACTTACCAATTAATTCTGTTGTGAGGCGTACATAGTTTGCGGTCGGAGTAGAACAGTCACTCTGGGTCACTTCAAGACCAAACTCTTCTGAACTCTTTGATTTTCTTCCTTTGCTGGTTGGAAGAACAACATCAGTCTGCATTACAGAAAGAAATATTTAATGCATGGAAATATTCAAAAGAGCATTGTACATCTAAGGGATAATAAACATGGACATTTTACAAATTCTTATAATATATTCTTAATAATGGCTTCGAAATACCTCGTTAAAAATAATTAAGAATATTTTATTTAATGTGAATTTCTAAACCATTGTTCTCTCAGGCGTTTGTCTTGTTAATGAACAGAATCCATTTTCAACTGTCATCGAACATCGACGATATCAAAGTTACAACACAATATGTCAAAGATTTGTGATTGATGTTGAGTTTACCAAGAAATATTATGATGGAATGTGTTAACAACAATTTATAAAATTATCTAATTTTGTCTGAAAAATATTCATCAAGAAAAACATTTTAAACACCTACAGAGAAATGTATTGGATTTTAAAACCTGAAATGGAGCATGAAGTGAACAAAAAAGTAAGTTCATTATGAAGAATTCATTGAAATTTAGTTAGCATTCATATTGTTCGTTGTGTATATTTGGCAAATTTTCAATCCCGCCGGACATATGTCATAATATTCTGGAGACACACTTGTTATAGCTCCCAGACATTTAGGTTACAGAAAATAATTGAACGAATATCTCATACATGCCAGTGTTGTAATCCTCACTTTATTAAGCTAGGAATTCTACAATTGTCTTGCCTCTTGATTTACGAATCAGTATTTTTTGTAAAAGAACTTACACAAGGGTGGGAACATATTTTCAAAAAATACAGATATATTTAAATATAAGACTTGAGTAGTAATCATATTCATCAGTTGTCAGTATCGACAGCTCACTATGAAACATTCACATACAATCTATGTACATAATTCTACATCACATTGCAGATTACATTGAACGAATTCGATACACAAGTTTAAGTGCCAAGTAAAATATTTTCTGCTGCTGAACTGTTTATAAATATGCCTGTAATAAGACTTCAGCTTCTGTTTTAAAGATCCCCATCCCATCCACGTTTGTTTTCCATTTCCCCTGATCCTTCCGGCAAATGCCGAGATGGGCCTTTGTTTTTGTTCCGGACAAAAATGTAGCGTCACTATCTGTGCACGATTTCTTGAGTACGGAATGTAGTTATGAAATTAATAGTTCTCCATGTTCTTTCGCAGTAAAACTATTCCGTCAAGAAGGCAACGGTGAGGGATAATAACCAAAATCCGTAGCTGATTTTCTTTTGGGGATAGTTTGTGTAACACTGAGGCGAATATTTTCATACCAATTCTCGCCGAAACCGCTCGTTGCTACCTGCATTTATAATCCAATTGATTAAGAATATGGGTTAGGACACACAGCTCAAGACACCGTGTGCAAATTCGATTGCTCCCCATAATACGTCAAAAAGTTTTAAACTGTTTTTTACGTAAAATAAATTTAAAAAAATTGATAGCACGAACCGTGACATGCCGGTGTCCAGTGGCATTGCGTATATTCCTGACAGCAAATGAGAACACTCTCGTGTTAATGGAGCACACATCATCTGCTAAAGACTTCTCACTAGCGACAACAGCGGTCGCAACAGCTGATAATAGTAATTTGTGAAACATGATGTTGCGTATTTGACCTGTAAAACATGGTACTTTTATACCATCTTAAAGAGGTCTTGAGCACGATAATCTTTGACAGAAGGTCATGCTATGATAAGTATGTTTGTTAATTATTTATCACTAGTGCCTCACTTTCAAGAATTGAGATTACATAAACTGTCAGTGATGTCATAAATAAGCTGATATTTTTCGCAACATTCAAACAAATTTCCTGTTTTATCAACACACACATCGGTGACGGGTTAAAATTGAGAGCGACCTACAGCAGTTGAAAGAGCGAAAGATCTCATTAGATTCGTTATTAACGCAAGATCTCGAGATAAATAAGAATTGCGTTTCAGTGAAGAACAAATATATTAACAAGTCTCCACCACTTAGGAAGTCTCCCTTCCGGTCGGACAGCTCTGTCAACAGCCGAGATTGTTTATAAAATGTCCTAAACTGAGCAAAGGAAATTCATGCAGTTTTGTTCTCTTAAGTCCAGTGATTAGGAAATCAAGAAAGTTTCGATTAAAATGTTTAATGTTACTCTTAATTGATCTTTGGAAATCTCACTGATGTATTATTACATCTTAATGGATAATTTATTTACTTTAATATAGGAAATGCAAACAAATATAGCTAAATTTGGGGCAACAATGCATAATAACTGACTTTTCCAGAAGGTTCTCAAGGGCAAGGTATTGTAAAGTCGTGGGTAGGTATCAACGCCACAAGAAAAACAAACTCGAGTGAGTATACACACATTTATTTACATAGAAGTACATATATACAAAATCTCACTCTTAAGGCGGTTTGTTAGAGCTACTAGTGCAGCCCCACTCTTCCTACATGCGCCTTGCGGTGTCGCCTGCCACAGGCCTGCTAGGCCGCCTCGCAATTTGGCTCGCCTGGTGTGCCCCGGCAGATCGACAATCTACCTGACAATGTTCGAGGAATACGTCGCTTGGTTCGAACTCATCGAATCACTCTTGTTTCTACAATCCACTGCTGTCACTCAATCTTGTTGCTACAAGATTGTAGTTTATTAAAAGTGCATATGGATTAAATATTAAACAATTTTTTGTGAATTGTAAAGAAGTCCGAACAGAAGTTTGTAGTGACTGTGCAAACTTGAGAAACGTATAGTATTAGGCAGTCTTTGTCCTGTTCAGTATTTTATTGCTGTATACAATTAATAATGAAGTGTTACAAATAGCTAGTTTTCATCATAGCAATCAAGGCATATCATTTCCACAATAGCTGGCTCATTTCCCTTGACTCCGCTGTCTCTGCACCGCTCTCATTCGCCCTCGGCGGAGGCGATTGCACCGTTGCGTCCCTTCCGAGGAGAGCGCCCAGATGGCACTTTGAATGCGGCGCGATTCCGCCTCACACCGGCGCAGCGACACCTCTGACACAGTTGGCTTAGGCCGCATCTTCATGGCGCCACCCATATCCGGGACATCGTTGCTCGCCTTATTGATCAGAAAAGTCTTTTAATATTCCGTTCCTACTCCTGGCAGACATTGTTTAATGTTACCTCTTAATGTAGCACCACTCGTTTTTAGAAACGAATCGTTGATTTTACGAAGACTTTTATTGAGATATGGGAATGCTAATAATAATAAAAAAAACAATTTGCGGACGCTCGTTATTTCAAAACAGCTACACATTAAACCGTTCGGCTTTTAATCTCTGTCATCCCCCAATCATCATAATTCTATCACTCTATCTTCACCATCATGATTTTAAAACGTTGATATTATAAAAATAAATGAATGAATAAGAAGAAAAATTCGTGATGAAGTCACCATTACATCTAATTGTGTAATATCGATTCAGAAAAAAATTCATTAAAGGGAAAAAATCACTATATTTTAGCACATAAATTATAAGAAGAGCCAAGGGTTTAAATTCATAACAGGCATTATGTTACAACTGTAGTCAATAAAGATCTACGCATCCATAGAGTTCATATTCAACGCAAACCTTTCCATCCCTGTAGAAAATAGCATAAACTACGGTCATTGCTAAACGAGGAAAACTGCCTTCAAAAGCAACCTCTTTCAGGCCAATCAGTTTGTTACCTGGTATTGTCAAAATTATTTGAAAATTTCTTTCTTTAGCGTTCATTCTTTGTTCTAAAATGTATAGTACTAATTCAACAGATTGGCTCACCTACTGAGGAAATTCATCGATTGACAAATATGTGATTTGCACGTGATTTCAAAAAATCGGCGATATTATACTGTGGCGTTTTTAGACGTGCAACAAGCTTTTGACAAAGTTTGGCCTTCGATGTAAAATGAAAAGATTCTTTACAAGCTCTTATTACTTACTATATGAATCATACATTAGCAAGATATATTTTCAAGAAAAAAATCAACGCGAACTTTCTTCCTTCTACAAAATCAGAGGTCCCTCAACGTAGTATCTGTGCACTTTTCACCCATATTTTAATAGAGCTGATTTCCCCAATGCGCCACAAACTCCATGATATGTACGGCGCCTTTGAAATGGGCACGCACGCGGCGGGGCGGGGAGG